AGATCTGGGCAGCACAGATGTGATTTTGGGGTTGGAGTGGTTGCGAACATTTGGGGAGATGAAGGTGGATTGGAAGTCGTTGAAGATGGAGTTCCAAGTGGAGTGTAGGAAGGTGATGTTGAGAGGAGATGCTAGTTATGCAAAATTATGTTGTCGCTGAAAACCATGATGTCGCTCAAAACCATGGTCGAGTCGATTTGGGGAGCATGACTGACCTACTTTGTGGAGTTGCAGAGCATTGCAGAGTTTCCAGAAGGAGTCCAACAACTCCTACAACAGTTTATGGATGTCTTTCAATAGCCAAATAGGTTATCTCCTCCGACGGAGCACGAACACACTATTACATTGAAGGAGGGTGTTTCTCACATCAGCATCAGACTATACAGGTACCCCCATATTCATAAGAATGAGATAGAGAGTTTGATCTGAGAGATGCTCGAGGCTAGGATTATCAGGCCTAGTTTGAGCCATTTTTCTAGTCTCATCCTGTTTGTGAAGAAAAATGATGGTAGTTGGAGATTCTGCGTAGACTACCGGGGTTTGAACACCGGGTTTTGAACAAGGAAACAGTGTTAGACAAGTTTCCTATTCCTGTAATTAATGGGTTATTGGATGAGCTTTATGGGGTAGTCATTTTCTAAAAAAATGATCGGTACCACCTGATTATGATGAATCCAGCAGATGTGCACAAGTTAGCATTCATGACACATAAAGGATATTATGAGTTCTTAGTGATGTTGTTTGGTCTCACTAACGCCCCGACATCATTTCAATCCCTCATGAATAGGGTTTTTCAACCTTATCTCCTGAAATTTATTCTGGTTTTCTTTAAGATATTATGTTCTGCAGTTGTACAGAAAGAGCATCTGGAGCACCTCAGGATAGTCTTGGAGATGTTGAGGGAGTACCAGCTATATTCCAACTTGAAGAAATGTTCTTTTGCATAGTTACAGGTGGAATACTTAGGACAGGTGGTGACCAAAACGGGGCTAACAGTGGATCAATCCAAGATCGAGGCAATGGTTGATTGACCCTTACCAAGAAGTTCGATGGAGTTGAGAGGATTCTTGGGTCTCACCAGCTACTACTGGAAGTTCATGAGAGGATATGGCAGGTTAACATGGTTACTTGTGGAGCAGTTGAAGAAAGATAATTTCAAATGGGCAAATGGGGAAGCAGCGACACGTTCATTTGAACATCTGAAGACAGTCATGACTAGCGTCACGGTATTAGCACTTTTAGATTTTAGTAAATCATTTGTGGTGGAAACCGATGCATCAGGGTACGGATTATGAGCAATACTCATGCGGGATTAGCGGTTGGTTGCCTACTTTAGCTAGGTTTATATGGTTAGAACAAGGCTAAAGTCAGTATATAAATGGGAATTGATGGTGATAGTCTTGGCTATTTAGAAGTGGCGGGCCTACCTTTTGGGATGATATTTTCTGGTCATAACAGATTGGAGGAGTTTAAAGTATCTTCTGAAGCAGTGGATGGTGACTGAGGAGCATCAGAGATGACTATCCGAGCTACTGGGTATGATTTCGAGATTCAGTACCAGCCAAGATTAGAAAATAAGACAGCGGGCGCACTGTCGAGAATGGTTGAGGAACCCCAATTGACAACCTTATCGGTATCCTTGGTTCTAAATTGGGAAACCCTGAGACTGAAGAGGGAACAGGATAAGGAGTTGAAGAAGATAAGAGTTGAGTTACTACAGGATCTGAACAGTCATCTAGGATATGCATTGAGGGGCAACAACTGCTCCACCAAGGGCGATTCTTACTGCCCAAGCAGCAACAACAACAACAATAACAAAACCTTTATCCCACTAAGTGGGGTCGGGTACATGAATCATTTTTCTCCATTGCGTCCTATTTAGTGTCATATTTTCATTTAATTCTAATAAATTAAGATCAGTTTTTATACAATATGCCCAAGCCTTCCTAGGTCTATCTCTGCCTTCCTTAATATAAGTCAAATCTAAAACATCTACTCTTCTAATCGGATCATCAGATGGTCGATGTTTAATGTGACAAAACCATCTAAGACGACTCTCTCTAATTTTGTCCTTCAGTGGAGCTACACCAATTTTATCTCGGATATATTCATTTCGCATTTTGTCTCTAAGAGTAAACCACTCATCCACCTAATCATTTTCATCTCGACAACACTTAAACTTAGTTTTATGCTTCTCTTTTGAAGACCAACATTCAGTTTCATAGAGCATTGCAGGTCTCACCATCTTATAAAATTTTCCTTTCAGTCTAAGCTGTACTTTTCTATCACACAATAGGCCCAAAGCATTCCTCCACTTCAACCTACCAACTTAAATTATACTACTAACATCCCCATCAATATCACCATCACTTGAACAATAAACCCGAGATATGTAAAGCGTTCACACCTTTTAATAATTTGATCACCCATTGTTGCATTTATGTCACTAGTAGCTAGTACTACTAAAATTACATTCCATATATTCAGTTTTAGTTCTACTCAAACAAAGGCCTTTAGACTCCAAGGTAAACCTTTATAATTCAAGTTTTTTTCTGTGTTTTTTCTCTCGTCTTTTCCATGAGAAGGATATCATCAAGAAAAAACGTTCACCAAGGTGCATCCTCCTTTAACTGTCCAGTAAGACCATCCATAACTAATGCAAAAAGATATGGTCTTAAAGTCGATCCCTGATGTAGTCGATCCCTGATGTCGATCCCTGATGTAAACCAACAGAAATGTAGATCGCCATTATTCCCATATAAGATACCTACTACCCAAGTCTTCGGAGTATATTCCCAGATTATTATAAGAGTTTTATGCTAGTGCGATTGTGGGGCACTCAGGGGTGTAGAAAACCTACAGTTTTATGGCAACAGAACTTTATTGGTTGGGGATGCGCAGAGACGTCGAGGATATGGTGGCAAAATGCGATGTAGGTCAGCGGCGCAAGTACTTGACCACAGCACCAGGAGAGTTAATACAACCATTAGCATTACCAGGGAAGGTTTGGGAAGAAGTGATGTTGGATTTCATCGAGGGATTGCCACGGTCAGAAAGGTTCACGATGATTATGGTGGTCGTGGACCGCTTGAGTAAGTATGCCCATTTCATTCCCTTACGACATCTTTACACCACGGTCTCGATTGTATCAGTGTTTATCCGAGAGTGGTTTGTTTGCACAGAGTACCAGAATCAATTCTTTCGGATAGATCAAGGTGTTCCTTAGCTACTTCAAGGAAAGATCTATTCAGGTTGCAAGGGACAATCCTTAAGAGGAGAACCACATATCATCTCTAGATCATTGGGTAGATAGAGGTGGTCAACATGAGTGTGGAGACATACCTGCGTTGTTTTGTATTCAATACGTTGAAACTATGGCCAAGTGGATTGCGTGGGTCAAATATTGATATAATACTTCGCACCACACCGCAACACAGACTACTCTTTTAAAGATATTGTACGGGCAATATCCTCCTCACTTGATACATTATGGGCATGGCGCTACACGTGTATTCAACGTCGATCAGTACTTGGAGGAGAGGGATATGATACTAACGGAGCTCAAGGGGCATCTTTTGAGGGCTCAACAAATTATGAAGAGGAAAGCAGATAAACATAAGAGACATAATTTGAACCATGGGACATGGTCTACTTGAACATAATGCCCTACCGACAGAAGACATTGGCCAAAAAGAGGAGTGAGAAACTTTCACAAGATATTTTGAGTCATATGAGGTGATGACACACATCAGGGCAGTGATCTACCATTTGAGGTTACCATCATCGTCTGCACTACACCTGGTCTTCCATATATCATAGCTGAGACGTGCGATTGGGAATCCTATACCATCATCTACACTACTGTCGATGTTGACAAAGGACTTGGAGGTGATTCTTCAGTTGTTAGAGATCTAAGGAGTGCGCCGAGGAGTAACGGTGCGAAGGAGATATTAGTTAAGTGGAAATGGCTGCCAGACTACGAAGCAACATGAGAGCCTTATGAGGTGATCCACAAACATTTCCATCCTTCCACCTTGAGGACAAGGTACTTTTTTGGGAGGGGAGTAGTTTTACGCCCAAATATATGTCAGTCCAGAATGGCCCCGCCGAAATGGCCCCGCCGAATGCAAACTAGCAAGCTCACGGGCGGGTCGGTCATTGCCATGTGAAGAGGCAGAGGGGTCTAGGCTGGTTGCAGAAGAAGGAAAGGAGGAGGTGGGGCTCTAGTGGAACTAAAGAGGAGAAATTAAAGGAGGTTTGGAGGGAAAGTGGGAAAGGAAAGCTTTCAAATGATGTGTGAGGTTTCTATTAAGGGGGGAACTTAGGGTTTGTTCTCTTTCACGCATGTATTTTGGTGGTTGCTGTGTTTTTTTCTTTTTGGTGGTGTTCTTAGCGACGTCTAGGGTTGTGACAGAGCCGATCTATCTCTCGAAAAGTATATCATCAATGTATCTTGCTTATTTCCATTTATTTTTGATAAGAGCAGCCCTCGTTTGAGTTTTTTCATCTTTATCTTGTCGTTTCATTGTGCTGTGCTTACTGATTTTGGTCTGGGGAGTATCAAAATCACTAACATTTGCATACGGCACATTGTATGAAGTTGATGGAATGATTGGGCAATGTGGAGGATCTGTTGTGTCAGAACAATCTGTTGGTTTCTGCCACTCCAACACTTGGCTGTTTTTTCTTTGTGTGCATGCTTCCTTGTGCACTTCTCTCTCTCTCTCTCTCTCTTCCTTGTGCACTTTATGACTTCCATGAACTTACCAGCGTTTGCTAATTTTTTCATATTGTTAGCTTTTTTCTCTTATTTATGTATGGGGTTGCTCATGATGTTGTGCTTATATTGGTTTTATATGTATAGATTAATGAAATAGCTGAAGATAGTTACATTTGTGCTTCTATTAAAGAAACTAGTAATTTTTTTTTGCTCTGGTTGATATTTCTTAGATTTCTTATGGCGATATGCATTCTAATTCCATTTAGTTTGGTGATTGCAGCTAGTGAAGCAAGCTATCTTGCCCCGTGTTCATGGTTTAGCTCTACGGACAACAGTTGCAGCAGTATGTTGCGCTTCTCTTACCCTCTTTTTCTTTGAATATCTTTTAATGCAGACTAGTAAAGGAAATATCATTCCTTTTACTTTATTAAGACTAACAGTGGTGTAGATTGTTATTTATAATGCAGCATTTTCTTATGACACATTCGTTCTGCATTTATTTTCTTACTCAACAAAGCAGAATTTCTTACTTTCTCCCGGATTAAAGGGATTATCAGCAAAGTAAACCTTCTTTCATCCTACCAACTACCTTAGGTGTTATTTCACATGCATTGCTTTCTTTTAGAAGCAGAGAAACTAAGAATGTAGAAGTTCATCCATGCTTTGATTTGTCTTGTTGAACTAACATGATAATAGTTCATGGTATCATGGTATCATGGTAAACTATGAAATTTGGGGTTGCAGTGGTTAAATTGAGCAATTTTAATAAGATATTTTGGACTATATTTTGGGACAATGCATTACACCTATATTCACACGCGCACAGACAAATAAAGCAATAAATCCTTTGGAATATAAATTACGGTCTAATTAATTTCCAATAACATAATTACCTGAACAGCATAATCAATATAATTAAGAAATTAATTAAAATATAAACAAAATATATGATTAATTTAACTAACTGAACACATGAGAGAACTTATACAAAATGATGAGTAATTTAAGCACATGATCCTTAATTATATAATTAATAATACAAATTTCACGTAGTTATTTATTAAGAAATAAATAAAATAAAGTTGAAATCAAGGAAAATAAATTGCTTATTAATAAAATTCTTAATTTTTTTTATTTTTTGCTAACTAAATAACTGTGTTAGATTTTTTTTTTTTCAGTTGCAGCTCTACTCTTTTAGACTTCCATCTTTTTTTTCCTCCAAATTTTAATCCTTCAAAGATATTAAAACATTCTTATATGAGTAAAGAAATGATTTGTGAACTAAAAATATGGATGGGAACTGATTTAGTTTCACTGATCCATGGTCCTCCTTTTTCCAAAGATATCCGCTCATACTCCAGCTGGATCCCCTACAGTAGTTTGTGTAGTTTATTTGTTTTGTCTGTGCTGATTATTATTTTGATAAAACAGATTCATTCCCATATACTATAAGTAACGTTAATGGGAATTAGGCAATCTTGGAGCATTAAGAAGAGTGAAATAAGAAAGTAAAAGAAATTTTTTAGTGAAAGTTACATACATTTCACACAATTCTTATGTTTTTACATATCTAACACCCAAAATTTAATATTTGCATTTATAACACCTATGTGTCATAAACCTATTCATGAAAAGGTGTATTTCACTTTTAAAAAGATATTGATGGTCGTATTTTTGATATGATGTTAAATATTTGATTGGTATGCATAAAATATGAATGTGTCGGTTTTATGTATGTACAAACATAAGAGAATTATGTGGTATGTATGTAAATGCCTAATTTTTTAATTTAATTATACCGGTAAATTTGCATATCTATTTGAGAATTTCTGGGTTAAGTTGTTCTTTGATGCTACCAAAAATAGCTCTCTCTCTTTTATTAGCATTCATTATTTTTTCATCACAAATTCATCATATGTATGAACTCTAAGTACTTGTGTTTTTTAACTTAACATCTTTTCTTATTGCTAGATAAATATTGCTTGCTCTTTCTTCTCTCTTCTCAGTGGCACTTGTGCTTTGATTTTATATTTTGTTGTGGCAGCTGTTTTCTTGGAAGATATCTACTTTTCCGCTCCATTCTTTTGTTGTGCTTACGAGAGATGGAATGGAAAAAAAAAAGGAAGATTTGCATACATACCACTCAATTCTTACATATCTAACACCAATACTTCAATTTTTTTACTTACACACCACTTTATCTTTGCATGAAAAGGTGTATTTTACATTTTTTTTAAAGTTAAAACAGTGGTATTTTTTTTCTGGTATGAAAGATTAGGCGGTATAATTGTAAAAGGTAAAGTTTAGGTGTTAGATATGTAAATACATACCGCCTCACAAAACAGAAAGAAAAGTAAACTTATTTTTTCATGTTTATTCTTCATGGATTTTACCCAGGTGAGAGTGAATGCTCTTCGTTGCTTGGGTGATTTGGTTCCAGCTCTTGACAAAATAGCTGTGTTGGACATTTTGCAAACTATGCAACGTTGCACTGCTGTGGACCGCTCTGCACCAACTCTAATGTGTACTCTTGGAGTTTCCCATGCAATTTATAAACAGGTGAACCATCTATTCCACTCTAACCAATCATTTAATTAAATTTTGATAATCTCTTGATTTTTAATCGGACATTCAACATGTACGCTTTGTACTTTGAATTCCTATTTTCTACGTGCATATAGAACTTTCAAAAAGTGTTTTACATACAATTGTAATAAAGATCTGGTAATTATGATTAGTTCAGCATTTAATTTTCATACTTCCTTGAATCGCAACAGAATTTCCCATATGTGTTGTGCAGTTTGGTTTAGAATTTGCTGCGGAGCATGTTCTTCCCCAGGTTTTCCCACTTCTTATGGCACAGCAGTTAAGCGTTCAACAATTTGCCAAGTATATGCTTTTCGTCAAGGATATCTTGAGGTATTATTTAGAAAGATTTACATAGATATCATCCAATTCTTATATTTTTACATATGTAAAGTCTTTACTTCAATTTTTACATATATGCCACCTTACCTATGCATGAAAAATGTGTATTTCACTTTTTAAATGTTAAAAAAGGTGTACTTTTGGTGTGATATGAATGTTTTTAGTGGTGTAAATGTAAAAAGTAAAATTTCGGTGTTAAATATTGTAAATAGATAGGAATTAGGCGGTATGCATGTAAATGCCCCAAATTTATCTTGTGTATTGCTGGGCCTCGCTCTGTTGAATTGGTTTAATTGTGCTGTGATCTTCCCAGAAAGATTGAAGAAAAGCGAGGCGTGACTTTAACCGAGCATGGAAGTTCGGAGGCAAGAGACTCTCCTTCATTGTCAAACGAACTCCATTCCGAGCCATATCAGAAACAAGCCGGACCCATTCAGTCTGCGAAGAAGACGACTTCATGGGACGAAGATTGGGGTCTTATAAACGGGCGTAATGCCGCAGCTCCTAATCCTCTAGCATCCAATTCGACATCTAACGCCCCCAAACCCTTCGTCTCTTTTCATTCCCCAAGCATCGGCTAACGATAAGCAGAAGCAGAACTCCGGCAGACCTTTCGATGGAAGTTTCGATGATATAGATCCATTTGCCAATTGGCCCCCTAAGCCAAATGGTTCCTCAATCAATAACCTGAGTTCTAGCAATAAGCCTTATAACAATTTCATTGGATCAAAACCCAACCAAGAGAGTGGAAATGTTAAAGACTCTTTATCATGGGGGTCCAATAAAAAAGCTAATTTGGATATTGGATCAATTTTTGTATCAGCAAATAGTATTGGGCATACTGCTCCTAAGCTCGCTCCACCTCCATTAACTGCTGTGGGACGAGGTCGTGGAAGAAGCCAAGTATCGCTGTCGAGTCATACGAAGGCTTCGTCGGAACAGCAGCCTATTTTAGATTTGCTCTAGAAGTATGTTTGATTTTGCGTTCGGAGTTGGGAGGGTAATTTTTGTAAAGAAAAAGAAGGGTTTAATGCGTGTATTATTTGCGTTACATGTTGCATTCTTTGATATTGTTGAGGTGATGGGGGATAAAATAAAGGCAACTTAGGCTATTTTGTGCCTTCAGTTTTTTTTTTTTAATCAATATTTTCTGCAGTTATAGTTGTTTGTTAGTGTTGTTAGTGTATAATTACCGTACACAAAAGAAACTCTTTTAGAAGGTTTGGGTGCATTTCGGGCGGCGGTGCGATGCAGCATTATAATGTTCTGTTTCGTAAAATTGTAAAATTGTGATTTGTCTGCTATTTCAAAAATCTGCTGTTGAACCTCTTAAGTGTGGTGGCACGGATTAAGATGTAGTTTGTTTTCTTTAATTTTTTTTTACTTTTTGTAATAATCATTACAGTTTTTTAAACAACAGCTTCTTCTACAACAACTTCATAGCTGCTTCAAACAGTTGTAGCCGTCCCAAACATATCTGCAGCTGTCCCAGACAGGGGAAATATTTGTGTACATAAGACGTACGCAGCGTTGCGTACGTCCAAGGGTTATTCAGGGGGTACAGGGGGGTTATATCCCTCTGTAACCTCCCTGTAACCTCCCTGTAATCTACAAATGAGTTCCGCGCTTCTGTAGTTTCTTACTAGTTATAGGTAGGTTACAAGAATGTTACAGAGGGTATAGTGCAGACAGATATAACCTCTCTGTACCTCCTGAATAACCCCCGATGTACGCAGCGCTGCGTACATCTTATGTACGCAAATATTTTCCCCCAGACCAACTCTCAAACTATAAATTATGAGATAATTTTGGCCAAGATGGATTTAAAAAATTCTTCAATTAGTTTTATTAATTTTCTAAAGTACTTAGAAAGACTTTTCTCTTAGTTTGCCAAAATATTTGACTAGCATCATTGAACAAAAATTCTGCTCAGAGACTAAACATATTTGATTATGTTTGGTTGATCATAAAGTTACTTTTGTAATATGTGCGAATGCAATTTAATATCCATGAGTGGAATGATGCTCAAATTACTATTTAATTCATTGTGCTCCTGCATCTGCTTAATGTTTTGAAGACATGAGCTTACATATTAGGAGCTAAATAATATAAAAGCATAAGGTACATCCAGTAGCTTATTAATCTAACTATATATATATTAATGTAAGCATTATAAAAATAGGGATTTTCATATTAAACATCTACAACATCAAAATATGTATGTTTATAACACCTAAAAAATTTCAAAATCCTCAAAAAATCACAATAACATTCTTTCAACACTTCATATTTCCATTTCTGTAGCTCTGAGTTGCCTTTTGAACCAGGCTCAATGAACTAATGAGATTATTGTCACAGTAACTTTCCTTCAGAACTCATTATTGTTGCCCAATTATAACCACTCAACTTCAATTGGCCAACTATAATTGCTCGACCATTGTTATTTGTTATAGGTAATTGATCACAACTGCATTTTTATGAATGCATCAACTCTATCGCTTGACTATGATCATCCGAACATCATCACCTGATTAATAATTAATGTGGCCCGCCCTCATTTGCCTGATTATAATTTTCTTATAATTATCATTGAACAATAATTTCTTGAGCAATATTCGCAGCATCATCGTTGTTTATGATTGTGCGCCAAATTCATCTGCCATCATTATCTATAAGATTGATGAACATCATCAACATATATCATTACATCAAAGGTGATGTAAATTTTCAATTCATGCAGTGCTTATAAGGCCAACAAAGGACTTCAATTCCAACCATTATTATCACCCATCATCAACAACAGTGGCCATATATATAATTATAAATAAAGATTTTTTTTTATTAAAAAAAAAAAAGAATGGTCGGAGGCTATTATACGAGCCCCCAGCCACCCTCATGTGCTTAACTATTCGAGGATTGTCCTCACTATCGGCAAACTGGCCAGATGGAGATTCGGACTCGTGACCTGAGGAGACTTATGGCCTTCGAAGAAATTGCTCTACTGGCTGGCGACACTAAAATAAAGTTGAAACATGCTATTCATATCAAGATTTTATTGAGCTTCAAAGTCTATTTTTCACTCCTAATAAACTTCAAGACAATCCCAATGCATCTAGAAATTTATTTTATATAATTTATATTTGCTACAACATATCGATGCCATCTTTAATTATGGAGAAGGGCACCCCTTGAAGCATTATCAAACCATTCATATGATTTTGGAATGAATTACATATCTGCCCTACTAGATCATTATGTAAACACCTAGCTTAATATGTTCATTATATATTACTAATATGGCATAGTCAAAAAAAGAAAAAAAAAATTAGTAGAGTATAAATTCATGATTTTTGTGTTGTAAATTAGAAATCTAAGGGGAGTCCGTACAAAAAAGTCCTATATATACATATTATATAAATCAATAGTCGTCCTCCTCAAGTGTGTCCCTTCTTTGTTACTTTTCATAATAGAAGATGATATGTAGAAATAACTCAAGCTTTTTGTGGCAGGATTCTACATAAAATTGCTACTCTTCTCCGTTTCTTTTCCAGATCACCATAACAACTACATCGACAAATGAAAAAATCCATCTTTCACGAGAAAAAAATAGCTACCAGTAATTGGTCGGTGGATCTTCCCACTTGCTGCATCAAATACTATCCGGGAGACACGCTTAAGGGATAGAGCTTGATAATGAATAGCATGCTAGTCTTTGATTTGTTTGTGTTGGGTTCATTTGTTGAATGAGCAAAACACGAGTTGTTCATGAAGAACGAGCCGCCTTGATAACCCTAATAACTCAACCATAGAATACTAAAAATATAAAGTGCTATTTAACTTATTATTTATATTAAACTATTTTATCCATTTAAATAGAATTTATAAATATTCACTATTTTTTTAATTAAACTTTTAATTGATTATAAATATTTGCAGCCTTGCAGTCAATTAAATTATTTAGAAACAATACTTATTTTGAGTAGAAACGATCCCCAAACGAGTCGAATACGAACAAATAAAACTTTGTTTGTGTTTGACTCGTTTATATACCCAACGCAAAAAAATTATTCTTTTTCACTTGTTTACTTAGCGAACAACTCGAACACGAGCACTTCACGAACAACAAATTGTTTGGACAGCAAAACCAATTCCTTCCCTTGCTCGTTAGAAATTCTCTGCAAGTGCTGCTACAACCACTTCAAGCAAGACATGAATCTGTAATGGATAATTTTATCTTCACAATCCTTGCCACTCAAGAAATGATCTTCCATGAAAATAATTTTTTTGCTTTTTTGCAACACAGAGGACTTTCTGTAATAGAATTGAAAGTTACTCATCCTCAGATTCGAACATCCATATCTTATTATTAAGAAATTTGCACGCAAAATCATGAAATCAATGCAAGTTCATCAAAAGCTTAAATCTTGCAAAACTCCAGATATATTCATCATCTTTTGTTGAGTTTTGACAATCAAAATCATCCAAAAATAAATTCTTTCGTGTTAAAAATTGATCTCTCTATCACAAGAAACGTGAAATCCGCATATTGAGGTGAAAATATCGCAATTTCATCAAATCAGCATCTATCTGCATCTATTTTATCTGCACGTAATATTTTTTCCCCCACGCTGTGTCTGTGGGTTTTTAAACATCAAACAATCAATGCTATCACATAGATAGCATCTCAGCTTCTCATTTGCCACAAATTGAGCTTGGAAATAGATAATGTTAGTTGGAGTCCAATTGGGATAAATGCATAAATGAATATGATAAGTTATCATGGTTTATATGCCTGTATGTTTTTGATTTGTTGATCATGGTGATGTATGTAATGGCTTATTAGTGAGATTTGTAATTATTAAATTGAATTAAGGGCCTTTTTTGTAATTAGTGATGGCTATATTATTATTATTTTCTTTTTCATTTTGGTGAATTTTCATCATTTGTTTTCTTATGGTAAGTAAAGCCAATTTTGTTGGAAGACGATCTAATTTGATTCCTATTCTTTTATTTCATTATCTTTTGGAGTGAAAGTAAGTTTGAATTGTCTTTTTGAAGACTAATTAAGGAGCAATTATTACATACAGACACCACATGTATAAACAACGGTGGATACACGTTAATTTAGGGTGCGTGGTCTCCCCATCCACCGTTATCCGCACGTGATGGCATCACCACATAATATTTTTTTTCCTAATTAATGGTTGTTCAATGGGTGTGATTAATATTATTGTTTGATGTTTAAAAACATGTTTTTTTAGGAGAATTAATTATTTGATCTGATTTCTTTTCAATGGGCGTAATTTATTTTTATTTATTGTAAGATTTATCCTTGTAGAAATAAGTCCTTATAGTTACTTATATCTTATTAATGATGATCTTCTAAGAATGCTCTAGATTAAAGTAATGGCTCGTGTCTCTATAGATTTTAAAGTTTAGATTCAAGAGTAACAATCATTTATGATAGATCGAATTAAAATATTTCTTTTTAGAAGTCGAAGAAGAAAAAGTAGAAAGTATTTCGATACTATGAAGCTCAAAAGCACTTTAATTATACTATATTTTAAAAATTGAGATTAAT